TGTTGCAAAAAGACTCCCAGTGAATTAATTTGATATTGATAGAAGATAAAACGTGTAATAATAGGTACTTGAAATATCAAAGTACAATTTCTAATCTTTATTTGCACACAAATCAGTTCTAAATGAGAAATATAATAAAAAATACGTTAAGTGGTATGCATTCAGCAACTTTCCCCTATATTCGGCAGTAGTAGGCCGGCCGGACGCGCTTATTATACTATCTTTAAACGTTAATATCTCGTTAACTATTGCGCAACCTACAAAATGATATAAGAATTTTCGATTCAATTCGGTCCGTTCTACCGCTCGTGATCGATTACCCGATAATTTTCAAACACCCTGTATATATAATATATACTTAATTAAGGAATATATTTAATTACTCACCTCAGTGACCAACGTTACATTTATATTGAAACCTTTTGCGGAGAATGTATTATCGCAATGTAATATTTGCAAGGAAAACAGATTTAACTGCAACAACAAATCAAAAGATAACAAAAATGTAGTAAAACAAGAATGATAAACTTAAATATAACTTATTAGTTAGATCTTCTATATAAATTTACTACTTCATCTTTAATTTGTGCATCTCTGATGCTGTTAAGTAAATCGTGAATGATAGTGCCAATTTTTATCGCTTCATTTTTACCAGTTTCACAAGCCCACACTATCAATGTTAATCTTGTAAAGTAATATATTAAGACTGATATCAAATATGCATTATCAATCTCGGTTTGATTCAAGGATATCCCGTTTTGCCATTGTATTACATTGAAATACACGTAGAATATTATCAGCATGAAGGATGCAGCTATGATAGCGAGAAGATGCAGACTGAAAATCATGTTAAGCATCTGCACTGTGTCACTTATCATCAGGTGCTGCTTCTTCAGAGCCTTAAGTTTTATCAGCAAAAACGGATGTCTCTGCTCAGGATAGATCTGTCTGGGATTATTCATCATCAGCTCCCACAGATTCTCCAGATTATCGTTGATTTCTTTGAAACAGGCTTTTAAGACACAAACGCAATTTATGTATAGCATATCTATTTGAAATCCTAACAAGCTAATGCAAACTCGACTAAAGATATCGACTAAACCAAAAACCATCCTTTCGGAATTAGAGAAATATAATGTTAGCGCTGTCCAGAAATGAAAGAAAAAACCGAAAATATCCTTAGCGTGTATTAATTTGGATAGTTTTTGATATGACTTCTGTGGCAATCTCGAAGAAATATCTAATATAGTCTGTAGTAAACGCATTCGCGGATTACTCAAGGCATAAGAGATGACTGCCAGAAACAATCCATATAAATGGAAGAAATTCACCCAGATAATCCTGGGTACATCAATCTTGATTTTTCCAGAGAGATTGAGTTCATATAACATTGTCAACTCATAAACACAGATTACGCAGAGAATAAAAATCCATAGAATATAACGCGGTTTAGAAATTTCAAAAGATGAAGCCATAATTTTATATGGAAATATTCCGAGAATTTTGCTTATGATAAAGTTGGGATACATCAAAGATTGAAAATCAGTAGCATGAAATAACGTCCACATTTCCCTTTTCGCTTTGGCCGTTGAGTCCACTTTGAAATTTCTTCCTCTCTACGATATATTAAATATAATTAACAAATTATTATATTATAATTATTATGAAAGAACATTTTAATATATTAATATATTATAATAGTTTCGTCTTAAATTTGTTAAGTAGGGGAGACCGGGACTAGTAAACTCATTTTTCAGTTTTGAATTTTTACACAATGATATTAAGAGACTTATATAGAAAAAATTAATTCTACATCAGTTACATATATTTAATTATCTAATATTATTTTAATAATAATGAATAATTGATAACTAATATAAAAAAAGAAATGCATTTTTATAAAGCATTCCATCTGAGTCAACTAGCCCCGGGACCGAGGTAATTAATGGGATAATTTGACTATGATTATTAAAATGAAGATTGTATTTTAAGCTACATCTTTGGCTACACATATTAATAAAACTTTTATAAGAACATATTTTAAACATAAACATTCGCTTGTCAGATCAAAACGACGCTTCTTTTTGCTAAGTTCATTTGTTTTGTGCAAAAATACGTCGAATAAATCTAATTTTATCAAGATTAGACGTGAGGGAATTAATTTATATTATTTACCACCGAAAGAATCTTTTTACAGGAATGAAATATTGAGTAGATACTATAAGAGTCGTCATTAAATGAGTCATATAGCCCCATGCTATGGGTAGCCTATTATTCCAATCTGTTCATTTTTAAAAACATTAACAGTATACGATAACAAAGCAAATAAATAAAAAAAATTTGTTGGACTTTATTAAATAAGATCTACATTTACTATATAAATAGAAATAAAATATCTCAGACAATTATATACGATTGTAAAACAAAAATTCTAAGAATAAAAATATTTACTTAGGTATACGATTTTTTAAAATTGTAACATAACTTTTATCACAGATGTGTTCGCAACGAGATGTTACAGCAGACTGAGCCGTAGTTGCTGAATGTGTACTCAAACACGTTTACGCTACGGTTGCCAGGTCATGAGGACTGTACGGCTGGAGCCCGAAGGTCCATGCGCAGGAGATTTCATACTTCGATTGGAGATCGATTAAAAAAAAAGAAAAAAAAAAGGCGCAGGGTTTAATTCGTGCTTTGCGATCACTGCATGTTACAGACTTTCTTTTTGTTATTAATATTTGACCAACGTAAAGTGTTAACACAATCACAGAAACGTTTTTATTACTATCACAGGATTACATAAACTGCAAATATCATAAATTTTCTTATTATTTTCCACGTAATTTAAATATTGCATTATACAGCGCGTTATACAAAACACAAAAAAAATAATACGCTACATCTTTAACACAACATAATATTTGCGAAAACCAGCATCTTTCATATATCTGTTTTGTAGTAGCTTTTCTAACTTTTCATTGGGTTTTCGTTTTTACATTACACTTATTGTTAGTAATAATAGTAAAAATATTTTAAAATGAACATTCTGAACGGAAAATCGTAATAATTATATACAATAACATCGCGAGCATCACTGGATAGTGTAATTAATAAATACCCTACGCGAGCGAAAAACTGGAGATTTTTCCTGTCTGCAGGAGAACTGGAGATTAGTTCCAAAAACTGGAATCTCCAATCGAAATCTGGAGACTTGGCAACTGTGGTTTACGCGTGTCTCGCGTATTTTGTTTTTAAGTAGCCTCGATTATTCCATTTCGGACTCCTATAATCTACTGACCCCGGTCTCTCCTACTTTAACATTTTTTATGCACTTTAACGTTAATACAAGCCAGAAACCTCTAAATGTAGTATTTAATTCGAACTTTTCACCACAAATGTATCAATTAGCAGTAATCTTATCTGTTTATGACCTGCGATTGAGTTTAATTAAATTTAAAGCTGCAGATAGTTGCTGCGTCGAATAGTAAGTCGTTACTAAAAGGTTATTTGTTAGCTACGAAGCAACATCGACATCTCATGATCATTATTTATGACCCTTCAATATACAAAGACATGTAATAAAGTAATTTCTAACATATGAATTATCATTTAACACATCTAAATTAGGAACAATGCCTGAAAGATCAAGATTACAAAAAATAAAAATTATATTTTATTTAACTAGAATACTTGATATTTCTACCATACATTGATATTTTTGGGGGGTTTCATCTGTTAGTGTAACAACTTTGATATCTATCAACCTTGATCTTTAATGTTACCTTTATTATTAAAGTTTTTAATGTGAAAGTATTTCATATTTAGGTATACATATTTATCCAAAAATATATGTATTCATATGCATTTATACCTAATATTTCTGTTGTGATAATTGAAAATTATAATATCTAATTTTGTAATGAATTAGATTTTACTTGTTCATAAATTGTACACATTAAAATATTTTGGATGGAATATGGGTGTTTGGATTGTGTTATGGTCACGAGCTATGGTCCGTATCAAATACAACTAAGTGTGGACTATAGAATGAACGTTTTTATTTCGAGCGCGTCAGATTATACAGCAACTTTACTTGACAAAAGCCGGCGGAGAAATGTCGCTTACCTCTCGCAATTACTTACTTGATCTCTTGATCTGAGAAACATTATTGTTTTTTGGCCATTCAAGAAGGTTCCGAAATCTAGATTTAAAATGTATGCGATCCTTGGGCTTAGTTTCCTTACCTACGCGGTTGCATTTCATTTCCCTCAATGGTTGCTTACAGTATATGCGATATTGCACTTGTCTGCAATGTCGGACTATTAATACATAACAAATTCTAATAAATTCAATTTAAACGCGTCTCTAATTACTATGTGCTTTCGCTGCCGCTGCTTCGTCGATTTATAATTGTCTCGTGCCTATCTCAGTATTGCTCTTTTTGTCCTACCTCGAACAGCTGAGCAGGTCTCCTAGGTTTGCATATATTCTCTCGTGATTCCAAGAATACGATATTCTCATGATAAAAATTATATTACAAAAAAATGAATTTTCAACTGGGGTAATGACAATATAATCGCCACAATATTATTAAATTGTACTGTGCGCATTTTTAGAAGCATTAATTTCGTAATGAGTGCTTTTTGCTAGATTAAAATTGATCTAACAAATATCTAAATTGCATGATGTATTCTTTTGATCGACGTGAAATTAATAAGTATAAGATATTTTAAAAGTATATGAATGAGAAATTTTGTTAGTTGACTTTTTTGTTTTTTGTGTACAAAAAAACGAGATATTAAACATTAAACGTTATCATTGCAATAATTCTTCTGTCATCTCTTAATAATATTTGAATCTGTATTGATAACTGAAACTTGAATAATAAGTACGCAGTTTGCATTTAACGAATTGTTTGAATCAATTTTAAGTATTAAATTTATTTTAAGAGTTATTCGTACTATTTTTGATAAATAATGATTTAATATACCTAAAGATTCTACGAATTAATTGATATGAGAAACGGGTAAGATATAAATTAGCTGATTGTACATTAATATTAGTTATTTAACATATTTTATTTTTAATAAAAGGACAATTAAACTGTTAAGTTTCGTGGTATATTTGATATGAAACACATTTTTTTATTAATTTATACATTAGTGTGATACATTTAAACAAATAAAGTCTCAATATCTTATTTATTAACACACATACTACGAGATTTTCATTTGGAATACATGCATAGGATGTATATATATTTGATTCTTTTAGAAATAAAAACGTTTAACAATTAAACTCACAGCGACAAAATATTCAACAACTAACCATCAAATATTTCCGATATTTTCAAACGCCTTTGTAATAATTAAATTGTGTATAATTAACTGCATCTGTCTTACTGTCGCAAGAATGTGTCATGATCAAAAATTGTATTAAAATTAATAGATATGTGGAAACACTACTCACCATCTAAAAGTAAAATATGAAAAAAAAATACGTAAATAATTCATACTTAATTAAGAAATATATTTAATCACTCACCACAGTGAGCAACGTTGCATCTACAGTAAGACCTTTTGCGGAGAATGTATTATTGCAATGCAATATTTGCAAGGAAAACGAATTTAACTGCAACAACAAATTAAAATATAATAAATACAAAACATATAAAACAGAAATGATAAACTTAAATCAGTTAAATATAAATTTTTTAAATATAATACACAAAAATTGCGACATGTTTGTAAGAAATTTAAACTAAAGTGAAATTTTTCTTCACTACCTCATCTTTGATTTGCACATCGCTGATACTGTTAAGCACATCGTGGATGGTAGTGCCAGTTTTTGTCGCTTCATTTTTGCCAGTTTCGCAAGCCCACACTATCAATGTCAATCTTATAAAATAATAAATTAGAAATGATATAAAATATACATTATAAATATTATCTCGATTCAAGGATATCCCGTTTTGCCATTGTATTACATTGAAATACAAGTAGAATATTATCTGCTTGAAAGATAACGCTATGGTAGCAAGAAGATGCAGACTGAAAATCATGTTAAGCATCTGCACTGTGTCACTTATCATCAGATGCTGTTTCTCCACAGTTTTAAGTTTTATCAGCAAGTATGGATGTTTCTGCTCATGATATAGTCTAGGAATATTATTCATTACAAGTTCTCGCAGATTCTCTAGATTATCGTTGATTTCCTTGAAACAAGCTTTTAAGACACAAACGCAATTTATGTATAGCATATCCATTTGAAACGCCAACAAGCTAATGATAACTCTGGACATTTCGAGTAAACCAAAAACCATCGTTTCAGAATACAAGAAATATGTTAGCGCTAGCCAGAAATGAAAGAAAAATCCGAATACGTCCTTAGGGTGTATTAATTTAGAAAGTTTTTGATATGATTTCCGGGGCAATCTTAAAGAAATATCTGATACGGTCTGAAGTAAACGCATTCGTGGACCACTCAAGGCATAAGAGATAACCGTTAGAAATAATCCATACAAAAAGGAGAAATTCAACGAGATGGTCTTGGGTACATCAATCTTGATTTTTCCAGAAAAATTGAGTTCATACAACATTGTCAACTCATAAACACAGATTACGCAGAGAATAATAGTCCATAGAATATAGCGCGGTTTAGATGTTTCAAAAGATGAAGCCTTAATTCTGTATGGAAATATTCCGAGAATTTTACTTATGATAAAGTTGGGATACATCAAAGATTGAAAATCGGTGGCACGGAACAATCTCCACCTTTCTCCTTTCGTTTTGGCCCTTGACTTGACTTTAAAATTTCTACGAAAAATTAAATGTAGTTATCAAATTATCATTAAAGAACAATATTTTAATATTTTAATAATGGTTGCTGCTTAAGTATATTACTTTATCATTTTTTATGCACTTTAGTGTTAATACAAGCCAGAAACTATTCTCCAATTTCGAACTTTTGACCACAAATACACATGAATTGGCACTAATTTTATTTGTTTATGTACTGCGATTGAATAAAATTAAATTTGAAGCTGTATTGATAGTTGCTGCGTCGAGTAGTTGGTCGTGACTAGAAGGTTATTTGTTAGCTACGAAGTAACAACCACGTCTTTTGACTATTATTTATGACCTCATAGAATATAAAGACATGTAATAAAGTAATTTCTGACGTACGGATTATCATTTAGCACATCTACGTTGGGAATAGTATGCAAACCAGAATGCATAGATATTACATAAAATAGAAATTATTCTATTTAATTGGAATACTTGATATCTCTATTATAATATTGATAATATAATATATTATAGGACCGTACAAATAGTCTGTGTGATACACAAACTATATAGCAATCAAAGGCACAAACAGTTTAATTGGATCGTAAATGCATCTGTGATTTTGTGTGAATTTATATTACATATGTAGTCCTTTGATATTTAATAATATTGATATTTTTTGGAATCTTCACCGATTAATGCAATAATAATTTCGATATCTAATTATCTGCATCTTTAATATAATCTTTATTTTTGTATTTTTTAATATAAAGGTATTTATTGTATCCATTCAAAAATATATTCATATGCATTTTCCTGTCATAATTTGTAATGATAATTGAAAAATAGGTACAATAGGTATCTAATTTTGTAATGATTTGGGTTTTATTTGTACATGAATTTTATGCATTAAAGTATTATTAAACTGTACTGCGCGCATTTTTACAAACATTATAATTTCGTAATGTGTGAATGCTATTTTCTAGATTAAATTGATCTAATATCTAAATTGCTTGAAATATTATGATCGATGTGAAATTAATAAGTACTTTGTAAATATATGAATAGGGAATTATTTTTAGTCATTTGTCTTTATGTTTTCGATGTACACTAATAATAAATAAATTAAGGAACAAATAAGATATTAAGAATCAAAAATTATCATTGCAACAATTAGTTTATCATCTCTCAATGACGATTGAAAATTTTGTTAAATCTTTATTGATAAATGAAACTTGAATAAGGAATATATAATATGCACTTAACGGATTTTTATATTTTTGTATGTCGATTTATAAATAAAATTATTTAAATTAGTGTCAACCATCATTAGCTCGATCACTGACTTTGTTAATATTTGATTACTATTACATTTTTATTAATTTGTATGATAGTGCGGTACATTTAAACAAATAAAATTTAAAAATCTGATTTATTAATACACATAGTACAAGATTTTTATTTGGCATACATGAATAGAACGTACATATATGGTTTTTTAAAAATAAAAACGTTGAACAATTATACTCACAACGATAAAGCATTCAACACATAAAGATCAAAAATTTCTAATATTCCCGCAATATTGAAAACTTGTATTAATTAAATTGGTCGTGTATAATTAATCGCATCTGTCTTACTGTCGCACGAATGCGTTATGATCAAAAATTGTATTAAGATTAACAGATACGTGGAAACGCTACTCACCATCTAAAAGCACACACACAACATGAAAAACATAACTAATACATATTTAATTACAAATTATATTTAATCACTCACCACAGTCATCAACGTTGCATCTACAGTTATACCTTTCGCGGAGAATGTATTATCGCAATGCAATATTTGCAAGGAGAACAAATTTAACTGGAACAAGTCAAAACGTAATAAATATAAAGATTACGAAACAGAAATTAAATATAAATCATTTAGATATAATTTATTTAAATTTAATGTATCAAAATCTCGACATGTTCATAAAAATCTTTTCAACTAAAGTGAAATTCTTCTTTACTACCTCATCTCTGATTTGCACATTTTTGATGCTATTAAGCACATCGTGAATGGTAGTGCTAATTCTTATCGCTTCATTTTTGCCGGTTTCGCAAGCCCACACTATTAATGTTAATCTTGTGAAGTAATATATTAATACTGATATGAAAAATACATTATAAATCCTGTCTCGATTTAAGGATATCCCGTTTTGCCATTGTATTGCATCAAAATAGACGTAGAATATTGTCTGCCCGAAGGATACAGCTATGGTAGCGAGAAGATGCAGACTGAAAATCATGTTAAGCATTTTCACTGTGTCACTTATCATCAGATGCTGTTTCTTCAGAACCTTAAGTTTTATCAGCAAGAACGGATGTCTCTGCTCATGATAGATCCATCTAGGATTATTCACCACGATCACCGGCAGATTCTCCAGATTATCGTTGATTTCTTTGAAACAGGCTTTTAAGATACAAACGCAATTTATGTATAGCATATCCATTTGAAATGCTATCAAGTTGATAAAAATTCTGGACATTTCGAGTAAACCGAAAACCATCATTTCAGAATATAAGAAATATAATGTTAACATTAGCCAGAAATGAAAGAAAACGCCGAAAACATCCTTAGCGTGTATTAATTTGGATAGTTTTTGGTATGATCTCTGAGGCAATCTCGAAGAAATATCTAATATAGTCTGTAGTAAACGCATTCGCGGATTACTCAAGGCATAAGAGATGACCGCCAGAAACAATCCATATAAATGGGAGAAATTCACCCAGATAATTCTGGGTACATCTATCTTGATTTTTTCAGAGAGATTGAGTTTATATAAAATTGTCAACTCATAAACACAGATTACGCAGAAAATAATAGTCCATAGAATATAGCGAGGTTTAGAAGCTTCAAAAGACGAAGCCTTAATTCTGTATGGAAATATTCCGAGAATTTTACTTATGAAAAAGTTGGGGTACATCAAAGATTGAAAATCGGTGGCATGGAACAATCTCCATCTTTCTCCTTTCGTTTTGGCCCTTGACTTGACTTTGAAATTTCTACGACAAATTAAATATAATTAGCAAATTTTCGTTAAAAAATAATATTTTGATATATTAGTAATAGTTGCTGCTTAAAGTTATTACTTTGTCATTTTTTATGCACTTTAGCGTTAATACAAGCCAGAAATTTCTAACTGTAATCTTCAATTTCAAATTTTAGACCACAAATATATATAAATTAGCACTAGGCACTTTATCTGTTTACGTGCTGCGATGGAGTTAAATTATATTTAAAGTTTTATTGGTAGTTGCTACGTCGAGTAATAAGTCGTGACTGAAAGGTTATTTGTTAGCTACGAAGTAACAACGATGTCTTTTGACTATTATTTATGACCTTTTAAAATATAAAGATATGTAATAAAGTAATTTCTAACGTATGGATTATCATTAGCTCATCTAAATTGGGAATAATATGCAAAACAGAAAACATCGATATTGCATGAAATAAATATTATTTTATTTAATTAAATTGGAATACTTGAAATTTCTACCATGATATTGATATTTTTTTGGATACTTCGTCGATATATGTACCTACCTAATAGTAATTGATATCAATTTTGATCTTTAATGTGATCCTTATTAGTATAGTCATTAATTTAAAAATATTCATATTTATTTGTTCAAAAATATATTCATACGTATTTTCCTGTCATAACTTCTAACGATAATCGAAAATTACAGTATCCAATTTTGTAGTGATTTTGATTTTTGTTGTACATAAATTTTACATATTAAAATATTATTAAATTTTACTATATGCATTTTTAGAAACACTATAATTTTTTAACGAATGCTGTTTCCTAGATTAAAATTGATATAACTAATATATAAATTGCTTGACATATTCTTTTGATCGACGTGAAATTAATAAGTAGGTACTTTATATAATACACGAATGAGAAATTATGTTTAGTCATTTGACTTTTGTTTTTTATGTATTCGAATAAGTAGAGGAATAAATAAGATATTAATAAAAATCTGTTTAAAAAAAGAGTATACTCCTGACTGCTGCCAGAAGTTAATTACAATATAGACGGAAATCTTAAAAAAACAAATTAAAAAAGATTTTTTAAATTAAAGTTAAACAAAAAGAAATTCAAAAATTTAAATTTTAGAAAGAAATTTTTAAAAATTGAAAAGATTTTTTAATTGCAAATATATATAGTTAAAAATAAAATAAAGAAATATAATTCTAAATACTCAGAAACAAAAACTAACAAAGACAAGAAACTTAAAAAGTAAAAAATTTTTTTTAAATGAAGAATTAAAGATAAAAAATTAAACTCTTTAATATATAAAATGTTTTTGCATGAGACAGAAATTTATATACATACACATACACACATGTTGCTTTTAGAAGTATGAAATAAAACAAGCAAAAATAAAAATTAAAAATTAAATACGTGAGAATCTTTTTATACATATGAATAGTACTGAACATGGAGTCGCACCACCGAAGATTCATCAACATCTAATTTTTTTTTGGCTTGCAACTAAAAGTGGGAGTGTTAAGATTTGAGAACGCACCATTAATGTCAAGTCATAGGAATATACTAGTAATAATTTAGTTCAAGCCATAGCTCCGTGAGAGGGCGCGCATATGCCTTATATTCTTTTTCTTCAGTTAGTTGAGTTGGCACTCCTACTTACGTTACTTTACCTTCTTGATCTTTACTACATTTTCGTTTGCTGTGTGATCGCGATAATTCTGTTCATATCAAATAAAGAGTGTTTTCAGTTTTACTTTATGTCTTTTGTGCATGTCCTTAGAACACGACAACCAGTATTATTACAACAACATCATTATACGAATATATTGCGTCTATAGAAATTTGATGTACTATTGATAGGGTGGACATTGGAACACTGTGTTAAACGTTTGCGTATGTAATACTGATTTATTTGGTGATACTGAAAATGGCCTGATATGAAAAGGTCGAAACATATGTCTTATCATTTTTAATAATAAATGTAAACTTTATTATTTGTATGTTAATGTTTTAAATACACGCTAAGCATCAACAATCGACTTGGCTTCGCAGCCTTGTTATTACATATTGTTGGAATTTAATCATTGGAGCCTATATCGAAATTGAAGCTTAAAATTAAAAAATTAGATATTAAATAAAAGCATTTTAAAGGCAAGAAAGAATTTTTTAAATTGAAAGCTTAAAAAAGATTCAAATAATATTAATTATAAGAATTAATATAATAAACACACTGTGTATTCCACAATACACGATTTCTGATAGGTTGAAATTCTTATGCTCTGTTCTCTGTTCCCTGTTCCTTTTATTATGCGGAGCCCCTAACATCCACTTCTTCAGAGGGCGGTAGTGCGCGGCAGCATTTTGCGATTACAGGTTTTGGTAAGGTACTATAACATGAGTATTCGCATCCGCCATTTTTAGTTCTTTTCTCACTCTCTTGCTCCTTTCCTCAATCCCTTGCTCTCTCTCTATTCCGCCGCTAAACTAAGAAGATTGAAGAGGGAGGAAGGATTAAAAATGGTGGATGCGAATATTTATGTTATAATGTTCTAGTTTTGGGCCGTCTCATGTTATCTATCAGGTTTCTCTCTGTTTATGACATGTGCTAACCATAATTGAGAATTACTAAAGAGTTCGCTACTAACGATACATCTCATTGATTAATCGATTTAGTTCCTAGATTCACCATCCAATCAAAGAACGCGCATACAACGAGAACTCATTTCTAACCAATAAAAAGCTCATGTGAACGAAAATACTTCTATTTATTAACAATACAGTTATTGATAATTATGTGCTATAAATCAAGCTTGATCAATAAGAAGTTTATAGCCAAAAGTTGATAAGAATATACATTGTAGTTATGGAGATATGTGATAACAACCGATCCGCCTCTTGGTGAGAGAGAAATGCAAACTCCCTCCGTTTTCGCTAACTTTCGCCAGCAGTCGCTCGTAAAAATCAAATGTTGCAACAATGCATCTATCATCTCTCAATGACGAATAAAAAAGTTAAATTTTATTTATAACTAAAACTTGAATAAGAAATATGCAGTTTGCATTTGATGAATTGTTTAAACCAATTTTAAAAATTAAATTTGCCTTAACAGTTATTCATTCTATTCTTGATAAATATTGATTTGACTAAAGGTTCTAATTAATCGATATGAAAAATACATAAGATATAAATTAATCGACGATTCATTAATATTAGCCATTTAATATATTTTATTTTTGAACGAAAGTACAATTAAACTGTAAAATTGCATTATTTATTTGATATGAAATACATTTTTATTAATTTATTTATAAGACTTGTCCATTTGAAAAAATAAAGTCTTAGTTATGCCACTGATTATTTATATACGTGGTACAAGATTTTTATCTGATTGTGCATACATGGATACATGTATATATGATTTTTTGAAATAAAAACTTTGGATAATTATACTCAGCGACAAAACATTCCACATAAAAATCAAAGGTTTTCAATATTCTCAAACGTATTTGTATTAATTAAATTGCTTTTATATAATTAATTGCATTTGTCTTGCTGTCGCAGGAATGCGTCATGATCAAAAATTGTATTAAGATTAATAGATACGTGGAAATACTACTCACCATCTAAAAGCAAAATATGAAATATGTAAATGATTTATATACTTAATTAAGGAACATATTTAATCACTCACCGCAGTGAGCATCGTTGCATCTATAGTTAGACCTTTCGCGGAGAATGTATTATCGCAATGCAATATTTGTAAGGAGAACAAATTTAACTGCAATAATAAATCAAATAATAATAAATACGAAAATTATAAAACATAAATGATAAATGTAAATCATATTAAATATAATTTATTTATATCTAATATATATAAAAATATATAAAAATCGCAACGTGTGATTGTAAAAAAATTTTAAACTAAAGTGACATTATTCTTTACTACCTCATTTTTGATTTGCACATCGCTGATGCTGTTAAGTACATCGTGAATGGTAGTGCCAATTTTTATCGCTTCATTTTTGCCAGTTTCGCAAGCCCATACTATCAATGTTAATCTTATAAGGTAATATATTAAGACTGATATGAAATATGCATTATCAATTCCGTCTTGATTCAAGGATATCCCGTTTTGCCATTGTATTACGTTGAGATACACGTAGAATATTATCTGCTTGAAGGATAAAGCTATGGTAGCGAGAAGATGCAGACTGAAAATCATGTTAAGCATCTTCACTGTATCACTTATCATCAGATGCTGCTTCTTCAGAGCCTTAAGTTTTATCAGCAAAAACGGATGTCTTTGCTCATGATTATAGATCTGTCTAGGATTATTCATCATCAGCTCCCGTAGATTCTCCAGATTATTGTTGATTTCTTTGAAACAGGCCTTTAAGACACAAACGCAATTTACGTATAGCATATCTATTTGAAATCCTAATAAGTTGACGAAAACTCTGAAGATATCTAATATACCGAATACATTTTTTTCAGTATATGAGAAATATAATGTTAACGCTAGCCAGAAATGAAAGAAAAAGCCAAAAATATCCTTAGTGTGTATTAATTTGGATAGTTTTTGATATGACTTCTGTGGCAATCTTAAAGAAATATCTGATATAGTCTGAAGTAAACGCATTTGCGGACCGCTCAAGATATAAGAGATGACCGCTAGAAACAGTCCATACAAAAAGGATAAGTTCAACGATATTATCCTGGGTACATCAATCTTGATTTTTCCAGAGAGATTGTGATTGAGTTCATAGAACATTCTCAACTCATAAACACAGATTACGCAGAGAATAAAAATCCATAGAATATAACGCGGTTTAGAAGTTTCAAAAGATGAAGCCATAATTTTATATGGAAATATTCCAAGAATTTTGCTTATGATAAAGTTGGGATACATCAAAGATTGAAAATCGGTAGCATGGAATAACGCCCACATTTCCCTTTTCGTTTTGGCCGTTGCGTTCACTTTGAAATTTTTCTCTCTCTACGACATATTAAATATAATTAACAAATTATCGTGAAAGAACAACATTTTAATATGTTAATATATTATAATGGTTTCTTCTTAAATTTGTTAAGTAGAGGAGACCGGAGCTAGTAGACTCATTTTTCAGATTTGAATTTTTACAGACGATATTAAGAGGCTTATATAGAAAAAATGAATTCTATATCAGTTACATACATTTAATTATCTAATAATATTTTAATAATAATAGGTAACTGATAACTAATATGAAAAAAATGCATTTTTCTAATGCATTCCATCTGAGTCAACTAGCCCCGGGACCGGAGTGAGGTGACTAACGGGGTAATTTGATTAAAATTATTAAAATGAAGATTAGTATATATTTTTAGCTACATCTTTAGCTACATATTAATAAAACTTTTATGAAAAGATGTTCTAAACATAAGCATTCGCTTGTCAAAGCAGAACAATACTTCTTTTTGCCAAATTCGTTTATTTCGTGCAAAAACACGTGGAATGACCTTAGTTTTATCAAGATTAAACCTGAGGGAATTAATTTATAATATTTACCGCTGAGGTAAATCTGTTTAAATGAAATATTGAGTAGATACTATAAGAGTCGCTAAATAAGTCATAGTCCCATGCTGTGGTTAGTTTACTATCCCAATGTTCATTTTTTAAAAACATTAACAGTATACGATAACAAAGACAGATAAATAAAAAAGTCTGTTGGACTTTATTATGTAAGAACTACACTTACTATCTAAATAGAAATAAAATATCTTAGGCAATTTTATATAATTATAAAACAAAAATAAGAATAACAATATTTACTTAGATATACGATTTTTTTTTAATTATAGCGCAACTTCTATCACAGATATACCTATTTGCAATGAGATGTTACAGCAGACTGAGCGGTAGTCGTTGCTGCGTGCTCAGACACGTTTACTACGCTTATACGGTTGCCAAGTCCTGAGCATGGTACGGCTGGGCCTGAAGGTTCGTTCGTGCGCTGAAGATTTTATATTTCGACTGGAGGCTGGCCGATTATTTCATTAAAAAAAAAAATAGAAAAAGAAAAAGGCCCAGAGTTTAATTTGTGTTTTGCCGTTTGCGACTACTGTTACAGACTTTCTTTTTGTTATTAATATTTGACTAACATAAAGTGTCAACACAATAACTAGAGACCTCTTTATTATTATTACAAGATTACATATATACTGCGAACATAATCACAGATTTTCTTATTACTTTCCACGTAATTTTAATATTGCACTATACAGCGCGTTATACAAAATACCAAAAAACAATACGTTATAACATCTTTAACACAACATAATATTTGCGAAAATCAGTATCTTTCATATATCTGTTTTGTAGTAGCTTTTTTATTTCTTCTTTGGTTTTTTTTCTACATTACCCTTAGTGATAATAATAAAAATATTTTAAAATAAACATTCTGAACGGAAAATCCTAATAATTATACAAAATAACATCGCAAGTATCACTGGATAGTTCAAATTAATAAATACCACACGCGAGCGAAAAACTGGAGATTTTTCCATCTGCCGGGGAACTGCAGATTGGTTCCAAAAACTGGAATCTCCAGTCGAAATCTGGATATTTGGCAACTATGGTTTACGCGTGTCTCGTGTGTTTTGTTTTTAACGTAGCCTCGATTATTCTACTTACCCCATAGTTTACTGACCCTGGTCTCCTCTACTTTATCATTTTTCAAAACAACAAGATAACAACCAAAAACGAGTATAAAAGTTGTTAGATTACAATAAAAATATATATTTGAGATATGATATCACTCAATTCTTATACATTAAAACGTTTCGACTCACAGAATCTTCTTCAATATAATTAACCTAATAATCTAACTGCAAATTAAAAAAAACGAAACTAATGTCATAATTGTATCATAAGCAACTAAAGTGTTATCTCACCATGTTCATAAGAGTACCGTCATGATGTACGATGTAATTAAATCCTCGTTCAAGAGCGAGAATCATGTTAAGTCCAAAGAGTTATTAAGAGAATGTTAATCAACCCATGAATGTAAGACTACTTTTTATCATTTGACTTCTATCTTTGGACTTAACGTGATTCTTGCTCTTGAACGAGGATTTAGTTTTATCCTATAACATCATGACGATACTCTGAACGTGCATGGTGGGATAACACTTTAGTTGCTTATGGTACAATTATGACATTAGTTCCGTTTTTAAATTTGTGTTTAGATTATTAGGTTAATTGTGTTGTTAACTGAAGAAGACTCTGTGAGTCGAAACGTTTTAATATATAAGAATTGAGTAATATTGTATTTCAAATATATATTTTTATTGTGTAATCTAATCACTTTTATGCTCGTTTTTGGACGTTACCTTGTTATTTTGCTTTGTCAAATAATCCAGCGTTTTATATTATTACCTTTTTAAAAAAAGGTAAAAAAATCGCCCGCTTGGCGTGGGACACTATCGTGTCTATTGTTATTTTTCATGCATTTTAGCGTTAATACAAGCCAGAAACCTCTAAATGTAGTATTCAATTTCGAACTATCCACCACAAATATACATCAATTGGCACTAGTCTTATCTGTTTATGACCTGCGATTGAGTTTAATTAAATTTAAAGCTGCAGACAGTTGCTGCGTCGAGTAGTAAGACGTGACTAAAAGGTTATTTGATAACTACGAAGCAACATCGACATCTTATGATTATTATTTTCGATCTTTTAGAATATAAAAACATGCATGTAATGAAGTAATTTCTAACATATGGATTTTCATTTAGCACGTCTAAATTGGGAATAATATGCCTGATAGCATCGATATTACATAAAAAAAAAATTCTATTTAATTGGAATACTTAATATTTTTATCATAACATTGATTTTTGGAGTCTTCATCGACTAATGTAATAACAATTTTGGTATCTAACAATCTTGATCTTTAATGCGATTTTTACTATTATAGTTTTTAATATAAATATATTTATACGTATTCATTCAAAAATATATATTCATATATGCATTTTCCTATCATAATTTGTAATGATAATTGAAAATTACAATATCTAACTTTGTAATAATTTGGATTCTACTTGTACATAAATTTACATATTAAAATATTATTAAATTGTGCTGTGCGCATATTTAGAAACACTAATTTTGTAATGAGTGCTTGGATGTACCGGGTAGATTCTGCTTCCGTCGTCTCGTAATCCAGGGGTCGTAAGCTCGTATCTCACAGGAGCCACCAAATTTGTTCTGTCTATCAGCACGAGCCGTTTAAGGAACGCACTGTAACTTCGCATTCGATGGATAGGTTCACAATGACTGTTAACACTTCAGTTCATATGAAAAGTAGATTAATCCACATGTGTTTTATAATGTATATATTTTACACGAGTGTTGCACTGAAATGTGTTATTGTTCGTAATTGGTAAGATCTTAAGGAAAGTTCTCAAAGTCTGTGTGACAGCGAATACCCTGAGCCTATGTGTGGCAACGCCTGGGGGTTTCGCTACGTGTGGACATACACTCTGAGCCACTGTGTGGTTACGCCTAGGAGTGTAACCTATTCGCGAATGGACGCGACTACGCGTGAGGCCGTCGCCTTGGGTCGCTACAATACACTACACTGCCTTTCGTATAAGAAATTAAACTCTCGATTCACGGCTTAGAGGACCGATATTTCGACTGTTCTTCACGAGTTCCGAATCGAGACTACCCCACTGCGCGCGTTTTCCACGTCGAAAGATACTGAAAAATAAGGATAGTAAATCGGCGGTCTATCGTCAAGAACACACGTGTGCCGCGGCTCCTATCATCTCCGCGGCGACAAAGACCGAGACAGTCGCCAGGAAGTCTCCGCAATACTAGGCGACGAGACACTCGCTTGATTGTATATGATTAAAGGCGCCGAACCATGCAAAAAAACTCTTCGGTATTTCGGCTTTCTTTGGATCGTGTACATGGCCATGTACTGTATATATGTACATATATGTGTGTAAGTGTGTTGTTTGTCCAACGTTTTCTTTTATATGTCGTGCACGAATGTCAAATGCGTAACAAGTGCTATTTCCTAAATTAAAATTGATCTAACGAATTTCTAAATTACTTGATTTTTTTGATCGATGAGAAATTAATTAGTACTTTATAAGTATATTAATAAGATACTTTTAGTTAGTTAACTTCATTGTTTTTTATGTACAAAGAAATATGATACTTAAAATTACTATTGCAATATTTCGTCTATCACCTCTCAATGAAAATTTAATTGATTCTATATTGATAACTGAAACTTGAATAAAAAATATACAATTTGAATTTAACGAATTATTTCAATCAATTTTAAGCGTTAAATTTACCTTAAAAATTATTCGTACTACTTTTGATTTGATAAAAATGTTCTACGAATTAATCAATACGAGAAATATATAAGATATAAACGGTGGATTCATTAATATTTGCTGTTTAACATATTTTATTTTTAACGAAAGGACAATTAAACTGTTAAGTTATATTTGATATGAAACACATTTTTTATTAATTTATATTTAATGTGGTACATTCAAACAAATAAAACCTTAAGATCTTATTTATTATTATACATGGTACACGATTTTTACTGGCATACATGAATAAGATGTATATATGATTTTTTAAGAATAAAAACCTTAGACAGTTATATATTCACAGCGATAAAATACTCAACATAAGAAGATCAAAAGTTTTCAATATTTTCAAACGCCTTTGTAATAATTAAATTGCTTGTGTATAATTAACTGCATCTGTCTTGCTGTCACAAGAATGCGTTGTGATCAAAAATTGTATTAAGATTAATAAATACGTGGAAACGCTACTCACCATCTAAACGCAAAACATGAAATACATAAATAATACGTATTTAATTAAGGATACTATTTAATCACTCACCACAGTGAATAACGTCGCATCTATAGTGAGACCTTTCACGGAGAATGTATTATCGCAATGCAATATTTGCAAGGAGAACAAATTTAACTGCAAAAACAAATCAAAAGATAATAAATGAAATAAGTGAAATGGTATAACCGAAATGATAAGTTTAACCCGGCGTGAGCTAGATCGGGTATACATCACACTCGATACATTGATCTCTTTAATGCTTAAAATTGTTACTAATTTGATTAAAATTTTAATAAACATAATTTTTTTATAATTCTGGATATTTTATTTGTAGTTTTAATTTAGTGGGATATCCATTGTGTCTTATAAAGTACTTTTAGATTTAGGTATTTTTAGGTATATCTAGCTCACGCCGGGTTAAATTAGTTAAATATAAAATAGTTTTAGATCTAATATAGGTATAAAAAAATCGCAACAAATAAAAAAACTTTTAAACTATAATGTAAAATTCTCCTTTATTACCTCATATTTGATTTGCATATCGCTGATGCTGTTACGTACATCATGAACGATAGTGCTAATTTTTGTCGCTTCATTTTTACCAGTTTCGCAAGCCCACACTATCAATATGAATCTTGTAAAGTAATATGTTACAATTGATATGAAATATGCGTTATAAATCCTGTCTTGATTCAAGGATATCCCGTTTTGCCATTTTATTACATTGAAATACACGAAGAATATTATCTGCTTAAAGACTATAGCTATGACAGCGAGAAGATGCAGACTGAAAATCATGTTAAGCATCTTCACTGTATCACTTATCATCAGATGATGTTTCTTCAGAGCCTTTAGTTTTATCAGCAACGGATGTCTCTGCTCATGATAGATCAATCTAGGAATATTATTCATCACGAGCTCTTGTAGATTCTCCAGATTATCATTGATTTCCTTGAAACAGGCCTTTAAGACACAAACACAATTTATGTATAGCATATCCATTTGAAATCCCAACAAGATGATGAAAAGTCTGAACAGTTGGAATAAACCGAAAACTATCCTTTCAGAATATACGAAATAGAATGATAATATCAGCCAAAAGTGAAAGAAAAAACCGAAAATGTCCTTAGTGTGTACTAATTTGGATAGGTTTTGATATGACTTCTGTGGCAATCTCGATGAAATATCTGATATAGTCTGAAGTAAACGCATTCGCGGACCGATCAGGGCATAAGAGATGATCATTACAAACAATCCAAGTAAATAGGAGATATTCATCGATATAATTCTAGGTACATCAATCTTTTTTCTAGAGAAATTGAGTTTATACAACATTGTCAACTCATAAACGCAGTTTACGCAGAGAATAACAGTCCATAGAATGTAACGCGGTTTAGATGTTTCAAACGACGAATCCTTAATTCTGTATGGAAATATTCCGAAAATTTTGCTTATGATAAAATTGGGATACATCAAAGATTGAAAATCGATGGCACGGAACAACGTCCACCTTTCTCTTTTCGTTTTGGTCCGTGACTTGATTTTGGAATTTCTACGGCATATTAAATATAATTAACAAATTATCGTGAGAAAATAACATTTTAATGTATTAGTAATGTTCTGCTGAAATTTATTAAGTACTTTATCATTTTTTATGCACTTTATCGTTGATACAAGCCAGAAACTTCTTCAGTTTCGAACTTTCCACCACAAATATACATGAATTGACACTACTTTATCTGTTATGTGCTGCGATTGAGTTAAATTAAATTTAAAGCTGTAGATAGTTTCTGCGTCGAGTAGTAAGTCGTGACTAAAAGGTTATTTGTTAGCTATGAAGTAGCATTGATATTTTATGATCATTATTTATGACTTTTTAGTATATAAAGACATGTAATAAAGTAATTTCTAACATATGTATTATCATTTAGTACATCTAAATGGGGAATAACATGCCAGAAATCGATATTGAATAAAATATAAATTATTCTATTTAATTAGAATACTTATAATACTACTACCATAATATTGATATTATTTTGGAATCTTCATGGATTAATGTGATAACAACTTTGATGTTTATCAAGCTTGATTTTTAATGTGATCTTTATTATTGTAGTTTTTAATGTGAAAATATTTATACATATTTATTCAAAAATAATAATTGAAAATTCTAATATTTATTTTGTAATGAATTGGATTTTATTTGTACATAAATTGTACACATTAAAATATCTTGCGTAGAATATAGGTGTCCGTATTGTGTTATGGTCACGGGCTATGGTCGGTATCATATACAACCAAGTTTGGTCTAGAATAACCATCTTTATTTCGAGTGTGTCAGATTATACAGCAATTTTACTTGACAAAAGCCGGCGGAGAAATCTTGCTTATCTCTCGCGATTACTTGCTTGACTTCTCGCTCAGAGAAACACTGTTGTTTTTTGGTCATTCGAGAAGACTTCGAAATCTAGATTTGAAATGTACGCGAATCTTCTGCTTAGTTTCCTTGCCTACGCGGTTGCATTTCATTTCCCTTGGTTGCGGCTTACAGCGTGTGCGATATTGCACTTGACTGCACTGTCGGACACACTATTTAATTTATAATAAATTCTAATAAATTCAATTTTAACGCGGCACTAATTTAAACTATGTGCTTTTGCTGTTTAGATTCATCGATTTAACCGTCTCGTGCCGGTCTTTGTGTTGGTCTTTTTTTTCTACCTCGAACAACTGAGTAGGTCTTCTATATTAGCGCGTGTATTCTCTCGTGATTCCGAGAATATGATATTCTCATGATAAAAATTATATTTAAAAAAATATATTTTCAGCTGGGGTGATAACAATATAACCGGCACAATATTATTAAATTGTGCTGTGCACATTTTTAGAAGCACTAATTTCGTAATGAGTGCTCTTTCCTAGATTAAAATTGATGTAACGAATATCTAAATTGCTTGATGTATTCTTTTGATCGATGTAAAATTAATTAGTAGATATTTTAAAAGTATATATGAATGAGTAGTTTTTAGATAGTTGACTTTTTTGTTTTTCGTGTACAAACATCAAGGTACCAAATATTAAACGTTATCAATGCAATAATCATTCTCTCAATAAAAATTTAATTAAATCTATATTGATATCTGAAACTTGAATAAAAAGTATGTTATTTGCGTTTATAACGAATTGTTTAAATCAATTTTGAGCGTTAAATTTGTCTTAACAGTTATTCGTATAATTTTTGATAAATATTGATTTGACAAAAAGATTATACGAATTAATTGATACGAGAAACAGGTCAAATATGAATTAGCTGATGTTTCATTAATATATTACTTATTTGACATATTTTATTTTTAACAAAGGGACAATTAAACTGTTAAATTTCGTGATATATTTTATACGAAACACATTTTTATTAATTTACGTACTAGTGTGGTACATTTAAACAAATAAAGTCTTAAAATCTTCTTTATTATTACACATGTTTCAAGATTTTTATTTGACATCCATGGATAGGACATATATATGATTTTTTAAGAATTAAAACGTTGGACAATTATATTCACAGCGATAAAATATTCAACACATAAAAAGATCAAAAGTTTTCAATATTATTAATATTGAAAACATGTATTAATTAAATTGGTAGTGTATAATTAATTGCATCTGTCTTACTGTCGCACGAATGCGTTATGATCAAAAATTGTATTAAGATCAATAGATACGTGGAAACGCTACTCACCATCTAAAAGCAAAACACGAAATACATATATAATAGTTAATTAGAGATTGTTTTTAATCTGCACTTACCACCGTGAGCAACGTTGCATTTACAGTGAGACCTTTCGCGGAGAATGTATTATCACAATGCAATATTTGCAAGGAGAACAAATTTAACTGCAAGAACAAATTAAAAGATATTAAATATAAAAATAGTGCAACAGAAAAGATAAGTTTAAATTAGTTAAATATAAATTAGTTTTAGATCTAATATATATAAAGATCGCGACATATTTGTAAAAAACTTTTAAATTAATGTGAAATTCTTCTTTACTACCTCATCTTTCATTTGCACATCTCTGATACTGTTAAGTATATCGTGAATGGTAGTACCAATTTTTACCGTTTTATTTGTACCAGTTTCGCAAGCCCACACTATCAATACGAATCTTGTAAAGTAATATATTACGATTGATATGAAATATGAGTTATAAATCCTGTCTTGATTCAAGGATATCCCGTTTTGCCATTGTATTACATCGAAATACACGTAGAATATTATCTGCTTGAAGGATAAAGCTATGGTAGCGAGAAGATGTAGACTGAAAATCATGTTAAGCATCTTCACTGTGTCACTTATCATCAGATGCTGTTTCTTCATAGCCTTAAGTTTTTTCAGCAAGAACGGATATCTCTGTTCATTATAGATCCATCTAGGAATATCATTTATCATGAGCTCCTTCAGATTCTCCAGATTATCATTGATTTCTTTGAAACAGGCTTTTAAGACACAAACGCAATTTATGTACAGCATATCCATTTGAAAGCCCAATAAGCTGATGAAAACTCTGGACATTTCGAATTTCCCGAAAACCATTTTTTCGGTATATGAGAGATGTAATGATAACATTAGCCAAAAGTGAAAGAAAAAACCGAAAATGTCCTTAGTATGTATTAATTTGGATAGTTTTTGATATGACTTCTGGGGCAATCTCGATGAAATATCTGATATAGTCTGAAGTAAACGCATTCTCGGACCGCTCAAGGCATAAGAGATGACCGCTAAAAACAATCCATATAAAAAGTAGAAATTCAAGTATATAATCATGGGTATATCAGTTTTGACATTTCCAGAAATATTGAGTTTATACAACATTGTTAACTCATAAACACAGATTACGCAAAAAATAATTGTCCACAGAATATAACGCGGTTTAGAAGTTTCAAAAGTCGAATCCTTAACTCTGTATGGAAATATTCCGAGAATTTTGCTTATGGTAAAGTTGGGATACATTAAAGTTTGAAAATCAGTAGCATGGAATAACCTCCAACTTCTCCCTTTTGTTTTGGCTCTTGATTTGACTTTGAAATTTCTACGACAAATTAAATGTAATTAATAAATTAAATGTAATTAACAATTGTCGTGAGAAAAGAACAATGCAATATATTAGTAATGTTTGCTGCTTAAATTTATTAAGTACTTTATCATTTTTATGCACTTTAGCATTAATATAATCCAGAAACTTCTAAGTGTAGTCTTTAATGTCGAACTGTTCACCACAAGTATATATGAAATAGCATACACTAGTTTTATCTGTTTATGTGCTGCGATTGAGTTAAATTTAATTTAAAGCTTCAGATAGTTGCTGCGTCGAGTAACAAGTCGTGACTAAAATGTTATTTGTTAGCTACGAAATAATAACGACGTCTTTTGATTATCATTTATGACCTTTTAGAATATAAAGACATGTAATAAAGTAATTTCTAACATATGGATTATCATTTAGCGCATCTAAATTGGGAATAATATGCAAACCAGAAAGCATTGATATTACAAAGTAAAAATTATTCCATTTAATTGGAATATTTGATACTTATAATATTGATATTTTGATATCGCAACTATATATTTATAACATTAATATTTTTTTGGATTCTTCATCGATTGATGTAATAACAATTCTGATATTTAACAATCTTGATCTTTATATATATATAATGGGATCTTTATTGTAGTTTTAATAAAATTATTGCTTATGATAAAGTTAGGATACATCAAATTTTAAAAGTCAGTAGCATGGAACAACCTACACTTTCTTCCTTCTGTTTAGATCCTTGACTTGACTTTCAAATTTCTACGACAAATTAACGTATTGTTATTGTAGTTCTTAATAAAAAAACATTTGATAAAACTAAATACACCTAAAACCTATTAGACGTCACTCAGAGTCATTATCTTGACAACATGTTAAAGTCAAGGCGGTGACTCCCCTTTTATGCAGTTTTATCAAATATTCATATTTATTCAAAAATATGCATTTTCCTATCATAATTTGTAATGATAATTGTAAATTACGATATCTAATTTTGTAATGGTTTGTATTTTACTTGTATTTTTACATGAATTTTACGCATTAAAATATAATTAAATGCTGTGCCTATTTAGATAAACTACAATTTCATAATGAGTGCTATTTTTTAGATTAAAATTGATCTAACTAATATCTAAATTGCTTGATGTATTCTTTTGATCGATGTGAAATTAATAAATATTTTATAAGTATATGAATCATGAATTATTTTTATATTTCATGAGTTAGTTGACTTTGTTGTTTTTTATGTACAAAAAAATATGATACTTAAAATTACTATTGCAATATTTCGTCTATCATCTCTCAAATGAAAATTTAATTAAATTTAATATTGAAACTTAAATAAAAAATATGCAGATTGTATTTAAGAAATTGTTTAAACGTTAAATTTACCTTAGAAATTGTTCGTACCATTTCTGATAAATATTGATTTGACAAAAACGTTCTAAGAATTAATTGATACGTAAAACAAGATATAAATTAACTGATGATTCATTAATATTAGCTGTTTAACATATTTTGTTTTTAATGGATGGTATAATTAAACTTTTAAAATGCATGATATATTTGACATAAAACACATTTTTATTAATTTGTATTTTAGTGTATTATATTAATGTGGTACATTTAAACAAATAAAGCCTTAAAATCTTATTTATCAACACATGTAAAAGATTTTCATTTGGTATACATGCATAGGATGTATGAATGATTTTTTAGGAATAAGAACGATGAACAATTATATTCATAGAGATAAAATATTCAACACATACAGATCCAAAGTTTTCAATATTCTCAAACGCATTTGTATTAATTAAATTCCTTGTGTATATTTAATTGCATCTGTCTTGTTATCGCAAGAATGCGTCATAATCAAAAATTGTATTAAGATTAATAGATATGTGGAAACGCTACTCACCATCTAAAAGCAGAATATGAAATACATAAATAATACATACTTAATTAAGGAATATCTTTAATTACTGACCATAGTGAGCAACGTTGCATCTAGAGTGAGACCTTTCACGGAGAATGTATTATCGCAATGCAATATTTGTAAGGAGAATAAATTTAACTGCAACACAGCAAATCAAAACGAAATAAATACGAAAATAATAGAACGAGAATGATAAATTAGTTAAATATAATGTAAATTAATAAGGTCTAATATATAAAAATCTCGCGACATATTTGTAAAAAACTTTCAAACTAAATTGAAATTTTCGTTTACTACCTCATTTTTTATTTGCACATCGCTGATGCTGTTAAGCACATCGTGAACGGTAGTACCAATTTTGATTGCTTGATTTTTGCTGGTTTCGCAAGCCCACGCTATCAACATTAATCTTATAATGTAATGCGCCAGGAATGATATGAAATTTACACTGTAAATCTTATCTTGATTCAAGGATATCCCGTTTTGCCAATGTACTACGTTGAAATACAAGTAGAATACTATCTGCTTGAAACATTGGGTTATGGTAGCGAGAAGTTGCAGACTAAACATTAAGTTTAGCATCTCCACTGTGTCGCTGATCATCAAATACTGTTTCTTTAGTGTCTTAAGTTTCATCAACAAGAATGGATATCTTTGCTCGCGAGGGATCCATCTGGGAGTATTATTCATTATGAGCTCCCGTAGATTCTCCATATTATCATCGATTTCCTTGAAACAGGCTTTTACGACACTAACGCAATTTATGTACAGCATTTCAATTTGAAATGCCAACAAAGTGGTATGTAATCTGATCACTTGAAACAAAAGTGTGAAATTTAATTCAGAATGTACGAAATACATTAACGCTAACCAGAAGTGAAAGAAAAAACCGAAAATATCCTTAGCGTGTATTAATTTGGACATTTTTTGATATGACTGCTGAGGCAGTTTCGAAGAAATAACTGATACAGTACGAAGTAACCGCATTTGCGGACCACTCAAGATGTAAGAACTGACTGTCAGAAATATTCCATATATAATAGAGAAATTAACTGAAATAAATTTGGGTACGTCAGTCTTGTTTTTTTCAGAGAGATTAAATTTATACAACACTGTCAACTTATAAACACAGATTACGCAGGCAGTAATAGTCCACAGAATATAACGTGGTTTAGAAATTTCAAAAGATGAAGCCTTAATCCTGTATGGAAATATTCCTAGAATTTTACTTAAAGTAAAGTTGGGATACATCAAGGATTGAAAATCCGTAGCATAAAATAATCTGAATCTTTTTCCTTTCATTTTGGACCTTGAATTGACTTTGAAATTTCTGTGATAAATTAAATGTAATTAATAAATTACGTGAGAGGACAATCTAATATGTAATGGTTATTATTTAAATTTATTAATTACTTTATCATTTTTTATACACTTGAGCTTTATTGCAAATACTCCTTTTCTAAGTGCAGTTTTTAATTTCAAACTTATTTCCACCACAAATATATGAATTGGTATGCCTTAGTTTAGTCTATTTATGCACTTCGTGCTAATTAATTTAATTTAAAAGTACAGATAGTTGCTACATCGAATAGCAAGTCATGACTAAAGCTCATTTGTCAGCTATGAAGTAACAGCGACGTCTTTCGATCATTATTTATGACCTTCTAGAATATGTGGACATGTATAAAGGTAATTTCTAACACACATGTTATCACTTAACACATCTAAAGTGGGTACTATGCAAAGACGTCGATATTACATAAAATAAAAATTATTCTGTTTAATTAAATACTCGCACATTTCTGTCATAACGTTAATGGTTTTTTGAAGTTTCCACTAGTTAATGAAATAACAATAACTTTTATACGTAATAATCTTGATTTTTAATGTGATCTTTATCGTAATTTTTAGTACAAAAATATCTGTATATGTGTATTTGCGATCGAAAATACATGGTCATATATATACATATATGCATATGTTTTCCTATCATAATTTATAATAATATTTGAAAATAATAATATTTAATTTTGCACTAAATTGAACTTTTTGTTGTTACATAAATTTTTCACATTAAATTGAATTGTTCGCATTTTAGAAACACTAATATGAAAACTGTATGTAATAAAGATAATGTGTGTTAAAAAATCATGTTATTTTATGCAAAAACTATAGTATTGTTTCAATAAGAATTAATCTCATTATATTTGAATTAAAATTTTAATTGAAATTTTCCTGTAATTCTAAAAAAATTAATTAGTACGACAGTAGATATATACCTAACATATGAAATATATCTTAAAATACCGGATACATAAGCAACAATACAAATGAAATGGAAAAATGGGTGGTAGAAAGAGTGAATCTGTTCATGATAATGCGTTATATTTCTCAACAAAAATTTTGTCAAATTATCAATTAATAAACAAAACTCGAATTGCAAAAATATTTTCGTTAGGTTGTTAAATTATATGTTAGACATAAAATACATTTCAAAAAAATTACGTTATTTATATAATGAAGAATAATGTGAAATAATTTAATTAAAATAAAGCTTAATCAATTAAAATATTAAAAGAGGCAGTTAATGATATCTCTAGTAAATTATAGATAATCAAATTTATAAAATGTTGTAAGTCTTACAAATTTCATTTCTTGTTACAAACGTGACTATGGTTGGGTTACTTTTGTTAAAAAGCAATGTGTGTTTTCTATATACAATTTTTATATATGTGTTTAATGTAAAATTGAAACAATTTAATGTGTGATTTTATACATACATATATGTATATAGGATTATGTATGATGTATCTTTAAAAATACAAAATATCTATCGATTTTATCTATATTTTCTGCCATAACACGTAGGTAAAAATCCCACATGTAATAATTTAATATTAGTATAACATTTGTTATAATGACTAAAGATCAATTTTATTTGTAACAAATATATTTAATGATTTAATATCAAAAGTTTTTTGTAGAAATATTAGCCGTTTACAGCGCCTATTCACATTAATTCATTTCCTCTTTTTATTATGTTCGAATATAAGGAATTTTAATTGTATTTTGTTTCAAATTATTCAATAATATTTGAAAATATATCTTTTCTTTATTTGATTAAATTGCGTGATATTAATTACCGTCTTTTGGTCGTAAGAATTCTGCATGTATTATATAATAATTTAATGTTACAATGATAAAGAAAAAAGTTTTCTAAAATTTAGAAAGAGATTCTTTTCTCTTTTTTTCTATTATATCTATTTTTAATAAGTCATTCGGATATTGCTTGCAGCCTTTCCATCGCAAGAATGTACCATGATCATAAATTGTGTCAAGATTAATATGTACGTCGTAACGCTACCCGTCATCTGAAAATAAAGAAAAAAGTAAATAGTATTTATTTTATTAAGGTAAATGATTTATTGCTTACCGCAGCGAGAAGTGTCGCGTTCATAGAAAGACCTTTCGTGGAAAGTGTATTTTTGCAATGCAATATTTGCAAAGAAAATAGGTACAACTGCAATATTAGGTCGTGAAATAAACAATTAGAAAACATAATTATATGAGCTAAATAAATTTAGTTAGTGTATATAAAATTGCATTAGTACAGGATTTTAATATTGTATAGGACATTTTCATAGCAGAAAATATACCATTACGTTTTGCTTACCTCTTCTTTGATTTGGTCATCGCTGGTGCAGTTAAGTACATCATGAACAGTGGTGCTAATCTCTAATGCTCGATTCTTATTGGTTTCACAAGTCCATACTATCAATATTATTTTAAAAAATTCGTATCCTATAGACATTAGGAAGAACACATCATCAATTTCATCATCCAGAATGAAGGATAGCCCATCTTTCCATCGTATTAGATGTTTGTACAATTCGAAAGTGATTTCAGTAAAGGTCAAGACTAAAGTAGCAAGAAGCTGTGGACTGAAAATTATATTCAGCATTTTCACTGTGTTGCTAACTTTTAAATGCTGCTTTTTCAGAATCCTGAGTTCTATTAACAGGAACTGACTCCTTCGCATGTGGTAAATTAAACTGGGAACACATGGCTTTATATCGTTTATCATAATCTTTTTCAATAGTACCAGATTATTGTTGATTCTCTTGAAACAGGTCCTCAATATACAAACGCAATTCATATATTGCATATCCATATTAAACACCACCAGGTTCATGTATATTGATAACACAGAAAAAATAGAATAGCCACGTACTCTGTAATAAAATACGCATGACTGCATGATTAAGAAAAAGCAGCCCAAAATGTCCTTTATGTGAATCCATTTACATAGCTTCTGATACGATTTTGGAGGTAAATATGAAGAGATCTCCAGCATGGCATATAGCACGCGGATTCTTGGTCTGCTTAAAACGTACGTAATAAATGTTATGAAACCGCCGATTGTAAAGAAAGAAGTAGTCTCGAGAGTTCTTATTACGTCTCCAAAGTTGATTGTTCTAGTAAAAATAATTTGATGGAGACATCTTAGATTGACAATGCAGATGACACAGATAAGGAGGGTCGACAAAATGTAACGCTGTCTAGAAGTTTCAAAGTTCGAAGCATTGATTCTATATGGAAATAATCCGAGGATGTGGCAAAAGATGAAATTAGGGTACATCAAAGTCTGAAAGTCTGTGCCGTAAAATAGCTGCCACATTTTCCACATTTTGTACTTGATTTATTTTGGGAACAATGAGTTGAACATCGTCGAAATATTATAAAGAATAGTTTAGGTGATAAATGACAGTCTATGATTATTAATCACATTATCTATACACTTTAGCATTTGTGCAAGCTTTCGAAAACTTTGTTATAAATATACAACTATTCAACTGGTCTTTCAATGACAAATACATACAACATTGTAAGCTCATCCGATGTACACTCTTTATTTTGTACGTCAATTTGTATTTAACAATTTTCAATTTATAAAACCGCAAGCAATTGCTATGTAAGTCAAATAGTCAGACGGAACTGAAAGAGTCGTATGTGAAACATAAAGTATCATAGCACTCTTCGATCGGCAAATATCATTTAAAAATACTACGTACAAAGTAATGATATGAAATTGCTATTACATTCAATTCACGTATATATCGATAATAACGCAAACATTGAATGCATTATGTTTATATGCATTGAAGTTTTTCAAAATTCATTATATTATATAACGACTAATTCTAAATTTTATAAAGGATATTTTTATGCTATGATTTATAGAGATCTTTTATTTTTCATTTCATATAATACATATATATAAAATGTTATTTATTATAAAATACTTCTAAATTTATTTTGTAAATATCATATTCTTCTAATTTATTATAAAATATTGATGTGCGCTTCTCTTTGTAAGGATAAAAATATATTGTTATTAATGTTTATTTTTTTACTTTAATTTATATAGGCAAATATAGTGCTATTATAGATGGTTTTCGCGTATTTGTTAAAACATAATAATTTATATCTGTATATAACTGTACATTAAAAATTTGTAAAACTACGTATTATTTGCATTTTCAGAAACAATGATATTATTTATTTCAAAAATGAGAGGAACTTTACAATTTTGCAATCAAACTGATAGAAAGGAAAATTCCGTGGATCAATTGTAATAAAAGAAGCTAGTAATAAAAGATAATTAACATTTTGCAATAATAAAGAAAAAAGTCAACTTAAAATTATATATTGCGTCTTGCAATAATCTATTTTTACAATGCAGAACGTTCAAATATAGAACATTTATAATTAGTTTGATACAAAATTTTTTGAAATATATTTATCATAAATCATAACAAACACACTTAAAAATTACATTAATTAAAATAAAATATACTAAAATAATATATATTATATATTGTTTGAAACTTTCTGTTAAAGCACGAAAATTTTTTTAAATGTTTTATTATATACATATACATATATTACATATATTTATGTAAGTATATGTGTGTGTGTCTTAGATATAAAATACACAGCAGTTATATTCCACTTCTAACCATAAAAAAAATGCTTTTTCATTGCTTAAAGACACAAACCGCACGCGTTTGTTGATTATATTTATAATTTTTGTGTGTTTTTTTATTGTTTATTTCCACTTTCTTTTATTAGATTATTTCTGTAATACTGATAGTTTTTCCATCACAAGAATACGATGTGATTAAGAATTGTATTAAAATTAACAAATACGTGGTGATACTACCCGCCATCTAAAAGAAAAATAAGAAATAAATATGTGTTTATATAATTATTATTTGACGGAAATAATCGGCTACTCACCGCAGTGAGAAGCGTTGCATCTACAATTAGACCTTTCGCGCAGAATGCATTTTTTTGCTGTAATATTTGCACAGAAAATTGTTCCAACTATATATAATAACATTATAATAAATTAATAAAATTAATAAATAAAATAATAATAAATATAGAGCAATATGGGAAATATAATTATTAATTCAGTAATTTAATATATAAAATACGCATTAGTATAGCATACGGAATTTTTATGAAAATGTACAAATTAAATCATACGTTATTACCTCGTTTTTTACTTGCTTATCGCTGGTATTGTTAAGTAGATCATGAACGGCGATGCCAATTTTTGCAGCTTGATCTTTACTACTATCGCAAGCCCATACTATCAATACTATCTTCGTAATATAATATATCACGGTCAAGATAAAAAACCAGTACCAAAAGTTTTCTTCTTCTTCAGCCATGGATACAACTATATAAAAATACAGATTGAAAGTGATTTCAGCGAAAGATATGACTATAGTAACGATGATCTGCGGACCGAAAATCATATTAAGCATCTGCACTGTATCGCTGACCATCAAATGTTGTTTCTTTAGGGCTTTAAGTTTCATCAATAGAAGTGGATTCTTTTGCTCGTGGTATATCCGCCTGAGTAGATATGGCTTATCGCTCATTATTAGTTCCTGAACCTTCATCAAATTATCGTTAATTTTCTTAAAACAGACCTTCAATACACAAACGCAATTCATATACATCATGTCCATTTGAAACATCAACAAAGTAAGGTATATTACAAACATTGTTAGGAAGATTGTATTGAGCGCTATGTAAATGCAATATACTACTGATACGATCACAAGAAGAAAGAAACCAAAGACATCCTTAACATGAATTAGTCTGGATAACTTTTCATATAATTCCGAAGGTAATTCCGAAGAGACCTCCAATACAGTCTGTAGCAAGAGTAGCCGTGGACGTCTCAATACATACGTGATAATCGTTGTGAAACTACCGAGCACATAATAACTGTGACACTCAATAGAGCTAGGTATGCTTTTGTTTATGATCGTTCTAGAAATATCCAGTTTATATATAATGATTATTTCGTAAACACAAAAAACGAAGATAACAATGGTCGATAGAATGTAACATGATTCTGAAGCTTCGAAAGTCGAATTGTTAATCTTGTATGGAAATATTCCAAGAATACGGCAGAAGGTGAAGCAAGGATACATTAAGGATTGAAAGTCTGTAGCGTAGAAGGGTCGCCAACTTTTTCGTATATTGCTGTTGGCTTGTTTCTGGAATTTTAATAACGAGACTGTACATAACATTTATGGGAAAACAATAATTTAAGTACACAGCATAAACATTTAACACATCATCAATGTACATATACATACTTTGTCAACAGTGTGAACGTTATTATGGAAGTTTCTTCTATAAATGTGATTTCGAAATTTATTTTTTGACAGCGATTGCATAATTCCTTGTTTTCGATCTATACTTGATAAGTTTAACTTGAAAACTGCATTGAATAGCAAGAAATGCTTCAGAAATTTTATGTTAGGCGTGAAGTAACCATGGTATTCTTCGATTTGTACTTGTCATCTACAAAGTAAAGTAAAAAAGTGAAGTATATATAAAAAAGTTATTGTTGCAACTTATACTATAGCCATACATCATATTTTGTGGACATATTCAAAAGAGGAAACATAAATATGAATTAATAACTTTTAAATTGATTAATAACAATTCTAACATATTGCACATTTATATTGTGCATACAGGATGTTTCAAAATGTTTTTCAACATGATCTAATATTTGCATAATCACACACGCGCGCGTATGTATACAATCATAATTTTCAATGAAAAAATGCATGAATATGTATTTTCAATTAAATAAAAAATATTGTCACTGATATTTATTTTTTTTATTTAATGTATACTGGATCGTAATTATGAATTATATTTTTGTAAATTTATTAAAATATAGTAAGCTGTTTTAAAATTGTACATAATATTATTCATTAACGTGTTAAATCATGTATATTGTTATAAAAAATTTTGATATTGCAGTAGGAGATGAAAAGTAAAGAGACAATGATAATAAATTGAGTATAAAAGGTAAAATCAATGATACTGTGTCTCAATTAAAATTAATCTATCTAATTATTTAGAAAAAAAAATTGATATGTTTCTCCAACTGTTAAAATTAATTGTACGGTTTTAGGTATAAAAAAATCTTAAAGAGTAGTATTTTAGTATAAAATAATGTATGAAGACAATACATGCATTTTATTTTTATTTCTTTTAGTTAATAATCAATCTCACCAACACGATATTAAAAATAATTTCTTCTACGATTTTCTTTTGCAAACACAAGATAACTTAAAATAAATCATCTCAAATTTTTCTGCTTTATAACAAATATATACAGGGTGTCCCGACCTTTTTTGCCAATCAATTTTGTGCAGACAGAGTGGACTAAACTGAGTCTAAAAGTCCTCTACCATTTTGCAATTTTCGCAGTAGTTAACAAAATATTAATTATACTAAAAATTGCAAAATATTGGTCTTGAATAATTTTTTACCCAAATACTATGAACTTTACAGAAAAACTGCAATAGACAAAAATCATTAATTTTTTTCTCATAAAGTTCTGAGAATTTTTTCAGAATTTTTTCATAATTTTTTAATACCGTATTTTCTCATGTTGGTAAAAATATGAAAATGCAATACTAAAAAGTTGATAAA